GGGTTGTGTAAGTTTATATATATATATATATATATATATATATATATGGGTTTTGTTAGGGTTCTTACACTATGAAATTATTTATTATTGTACTCAACAAATTTTGGACACTCTTATACCCTTGTTTTGTACATAGAGCATTTTTTTAGTGAGAGTATTTTTTATCATTAGAAGAGGTATGCCATTATCCACATGGAGTGTGACATCACTCACATGGAGCACACAGTCGCATTTAATGCTCCAAGTGGGTAATAAGGGATATAATAAACCTTATTAGTGTTGCACAACACAATTGTCGACAAATTAACTCAGTGCCTTAATTTGAAATACCTGCTTTTATGGGGTTATTGTTGGATTTAGTGCTATCCAAAATCACCCACATAAAGAAATCACATATTTTGTGGGATTGACTGATATTAATCTATATTATATGAGATTGAGATATTCCGATATTATGTGGGATTGAGATATTTCGTTATTATATGGGTTTACTATTAACCAATTAGATATTATTTAGGAGTTGGTTATTGAGATAAATTATATTTGGATTAGAATGAAGATTTTTTGGTGAGTCTCTTGTTTCTATATAATAGGCTATTTTTAGAGGAGAATGTATGCCCTATTGGGGTCACCATATGGGAATAGTGGTTCACATGAGATATAACCTATTATGCATGAGATACAATTTCCTCTTAGAAAAGAGAGCTGTCTATGAAGAGAAACATTGATGATCAGAGAAATATTAATGATGCCTCTTGAAGACTCATACAAAGTGAGAGGTTGGTTTCTTGTAGAGAAACGGTTCTCATGGAGATTTTGGGTTGTTTCCCTTAAGATAAAATCTTGTTTGCTCTCAAAGTTGTTCTCTTCTTAAAGAGTGGTATCTTATGGAATAGAGATGAGAGATCAGCATGGTCCCGTTTGGGAGAGCAGGTTTAAAAGGGTTTGCTCGATTTAGGTTTTTGTCGACATTTGTTCCAAAATCTTTGATGTAACTTTCATTGGTATAGTGGATTTTAGTTTGTCTTGCTCGTGGATGTACCCCTTTTGGAGTGAACAACGTAAATCTTTGTGTCATTGTTGTATGTGTTTCATGTTTTATTTCTCATATTTTATTTACCAAAATATTAACCCATCGGGTTGTATCATTGTTGCATGTGTTTCATATTTTATTTCTCATACTTTATTTACCAAAATATTAACCCATCGGGTTTAGAGCTTCCCCGTACAACAAGTGGTATCAGAGCACAATCCTTATTCATAAGGGTGTGGTTTGCATAAGGTTGCAACTTTAAACAATCAAAGTATGACGCATCTCTAAATTTTGTCATAAGATATAATTTTGGTGTAAAATTTTTTTAGAATTACTTCAGAATTTATTTTCATCTCTAATTATAAAACTGCAATCTCAAAAAAAATGGTTCAAGTCAAGTACATCTATAAACACATGAAAATCTTGAAAACGGATGGTCGAGAAAATGTGTAGCAAGATGTAGTACTTTTGGGACTCGAAATCTTTTTATTTTCCCTACATTTTGATGTCGAAATAATCAATTAGAAGGTTGTCCAACATCAAAACAACCTTTTCTGATGTATTTTTGAGGTGGACCTTAATTTTACAGTTTAAAGTTGCAACCTTATATGTATTTTTTCCTATTCACAAAGCAGTGTTCAAAAACCCTGCTAGTCGAAATCAGATTGGCTCAAGTATTTCGGAATCAGCATTTTGCCAGTTTCTGATGAGCCGAACTCAAATTACCCGAGGCTCTACCCTAATCTATCCTCTTTAAAGGTCCAACCGATATCCTTCAAAAGAATGTAGTCCTTTTCGCATCAAAAGTGCACAGATGAACCAAATCATAAAATTCAAACTGTTGATATATATTTGAAAGCATCTAGATTGTGTCTGCTAAAAAGCTTTATATTTGGGAAAAGCTTTTATAGTTACCGTACGGTATATAAGCTACATGCTTGCCTCCCAATCCAGCCATCTAATGGAGATCAAGTGAGTAGTTTGATCTAGATCCGACGCATCAATGTATTTTACTTTTATTTATAAATTATATGAATATGAAATTTAATACGTGTCATCATCTGAAAAGGAAAAGATAGGGGTTTGGGGGACAGAGCCAAGAGAGTGAGAGGGAGAGGGTTTCGGGAAGAGAGATGAGAGGTGAGAAAAATAAGGTTAGGGGGAGAGAGACGAGACTGTGAGAGGGGTTGGCAGAGAGAGGCAACCAAAAGGGAGAGGATTTGGGGGAGACAAATGAGAGACTGAGGGAGAGGGGTTGGGGGAGAGAGGTGAGAGAGTGGGAGGGAGAGGGTGGGGGATTGATACAAGAGGAGAGAGGGAGATAGACAGATGATTAAAAGAGAGTCGAGAGAGTGAGAGTGAGAGGTTTACAAGAGATGACGGTTTCAAAAAAGTGGAGGTGTCTTTCTAAATTTTGTTTGAGCAAAAAAATAATCTCAAAAAATTTAACTGGTCCAGGGGTCGAAGATATAATGCTGCCAAAAACTTTTTAAAACTCTAAATCTGTTCAGAAATGGTACACCAAAATAGAGTATACAAAGAAATCAAGATATCCACAAACCACCCAAATTTTTCCAAAGACAATACTCTGCAAGGCGACTTAAGAGCTCACCAAGGCTCACTTGGGGTAGTGTCCCAGTCCTTGGGCGAGCCGGAAGTCTAAAACACTCACGAAGTGCTCAAAATTGAACATTTTCACCAAGTAAAGGGCTAACATCTCACGAGCTTCAAGTATTCCACTGAAATTTAATTCGTTAAGCTTTGCCAACACAAAACATCATCTCTCTAAGTTACAATCAATTGAATCTCCAAAAAGAAAAAGAAAAACAAAAGCTGCCAAAGAGAACCCGAGTTATACAAATCAACAATCAAAACCCGTAGTAATATGTACAGGGGAGGCAGCTATTAGCTCGATATTTGGTCACGAACTCATTAATGGCCTGATAATTACAATCCACAAAGATGGGACTAGCCTCCAAGGATGCTTCAGAGCTAAAAATTGTTTGTCCCTCAAAAGAATGTTTGATTTTGGATCCGCAGCTCATAGCTCATTCGATCGGAGAGCAGATTGAATCCATTGTCCGCAAGCATTTTGAGTTCATAAAGTGCATACATAATTTTTCTGCATACAATCAGATCGAGAGTGGCTTGTGTCGAATTCTTTGGTCCTCACAGCAACCTATTGTGGGCTTCAAGCATGGCTGCTCTCTCCTGCAGTCATCGGCAGCACGGAAATCCCATCTCAGATATCTTCGACTCTAGGGAATATACGCAGCACATCCTTCTCTTTCTACACACACACAGGCACTCGCGTTATTGGTTAGCGTGTTAATAATGCATGTCCATTTTCATTGACACCACAACTTACTCCCACTTCAAACATCCATTTTCTCTGATACCAAAGAACTCTCTCTCCCACACACACAGGCACACTTTCTCTCTCTAACACACACATAGAGATGCGCATGCCCATTATTGGTTAGCATGTTAATCAATGTTTCCAAATATGCTGGGTGCCTAGGCGGGCGCCCAAGATCCTTGAGGGGCCTAGGTTCAAAAGGGGCAAGGGGTTTTTAGGAATCTAGTTTTAGGTTCAAATTTTGTATAAAAAGAGGTATTTTTTATAATCCAAACTAAAAACACCAAAAATGCCTCACGGATATTTTTACACCTAGGCGGGTCTACCCAGGCACCTAGGGACTGCTGGCCTAGTTAGTCAGCCCAGGCCCCCCAGCCCACCTAGGTACTGGGCAGATTGCTTTTTGAAATAATGATGTCAATCATGTACCATTTTCTATGATAGCACAACTCTCTCTCTCTCTGTTTCCTTCCCTAGTTTCAGTGTTCCATTCGAACTTCAACTTAGGGGTTTAAAGTTACAGGATTGAGCCCTAGTGAGGAAAAAATCTAGGAAGATAAGCATTCACCTCATTTTGAGCACTCTCTGCAGGGAACCAATGCATTAGAATTCCGAGGTGCATGACCGCTGGGATCAACTTAAACATGAGTGGAGTAGTTACCTGCACCACAACAAAATGCATCAGATAATATGGAAGGACAGTAGAAGAAATTGCAGGGATATTGCTCTTAAGTGGAATATCACAGCAAGATTACCAGGCTGAGTGCTGTAGTTCCCAAAAGTAGAAGATACATTTTCCCCTGAAATACAAATACCAATGTACTAACTTAATGGTGGATCATAAAGTTGCTAACCAATTAAGATTGCAATAGAATCATCAAATCATGCCAATTAGAGTAGCAACACTGCTCAAGAGTGACCAGTTGCATAGTTGTCCAGAAATATCCAATATATGATCTTACACAAGTAAGTGCATGCACATGCGCACACACACCAACAAAGAGAGAGAGAGAGAGCACCTCAATAAGATGCAGATTTGAGGCGCGACTTAAAAGAACAAATGCAAACTCTCCAATTTGAGCAAGTGATAGTCCCACCTAGAGAGAAAACATGAAAGCCATCAGAATAATATGAGTCACCAACTAAATGGAAGTTCCACAGTGCCAATGAGAGGACGAGGGAAATACTGACAAGAAATGATGTCCGGATGTTGTATCCAAACCCCTTGATCACCAATGCAATCACAATTGTCTTTATAACCACAACAAGAATCACAGATGCTAGCAATATATCTACATGACTCCATAAGAACTGGACATGTATGAGCATTCCAATACTGGCTAGAAAGAGAGCCGCAAATAGGTTTCGAATTGGCTCCACCTGAAAATAAATTAAAATGAAAAGTAACATATGATAAGCAACAAATTTGTATCTCTGCTCATCCATTGTAAAATAAATAACCCTCAGCTCGAAAAACCACCCCCCACACCCACCTGCAGCCCAAAAAACTGAGGTGCTTCAATTTATCGTAAAGAGAAAAAATTGCCACGGGATAGCAGCCCCTAAGCCACACACACATTGCTTGAATGCAGAAGAGATCAATGCAAAATTCAATAATGAAATTTGCAAGAACTTATAACACTAAAACTTTGAATCAGCCAAATTCCTATCCACATCAAATAGCCTAAGTTCCCATGATTCAATCTGCTCTATTATGTTCACATTATGTAGCATATGTCTTTACTTTGAGAACTCTTTTCATTTAATAATTGACAATTTCATTAATGAGAAGAAACATAAAAAATAACAAAGGAAAAGGAGAATATGGACTTAGAAGATGCGTTCATGAGGGATAACAAAAATTGTGGAAAACAAACAATAAAGGGTCATGTGAGAGGAAAGGACTCCCCTAAAAGTAAATTAGCTCTCCCCATAACTTGAACCACACAACTTGGCTTCCTAGCTTGCATCCCCCAGAATGTCAAAAGAGAACTTCTCCATTGCAAATGTCAAAATGTACTTTTCCATTGGATCTCTTATCTTGCACACTTGGAATTCTCTTATAAGAATGCCTGAACATTCTGTTATATATATGTTATTATTGATTATAACTATAGCTTAATCGATCATTTGAGTTAGTTTCCTTATGGAAGTTTGTGTCTCTCAATCTTCAATTCTTAACATGTATAAACCCAAAAAAATCCTGAACATGTAGTTTAATTGAAGTGGCTCCAAGAATGCATATCTGACTAGGTTTAGCTTCTGGGCTTAATGCTCATGGCATATGGGCTCCAAACTAGCCTACTAAGGTAGGATCCCAAGTTTATCACACCAAGGAGAAAAAGGACCACAATTGCCTGTGTGATCATTGAAGAACAATATCAGAAAGAAGAGCATACCTGATCTAGTGTATGTTGAGCAAAATCAGTGTTAGATATCATAACCCCAGCAACAAATGAACCAAGTTCAAGACTCAGCCCCAATTTATCACTGCACTGGAAGCATAAAAACAATACTATATATCATGAAGCAGAATAGCTAAACAAGGGAACATTCATTCAATATTTTTATAGCCATGGACTATAAGAAATTTGACTTGAAGAAGATAAATTTCTTCAGTACATTACTGTAGCCAAAACACATGAAAACAAGCAAACAAGCACTCGCACATGCTCCCTGTATGTATGTGCACGCGCACATCGAGACTGCATATTTTAGATACCACATATGCATTATAGCTTACAACCATGTCTATAGCATAGAGATTTTATACACATTGTAATCTATATAATACAAATATCGATACGATGTACATAATAAGAGTAACATATAAGTAACCAATATACAGAAATAAACAGTCCATTATATAGAAATACACAGCGCATTGCATAACTGCAACATCATGTTCAACCTTGATATATGGAAAAAAGACAGCATTTTATCACTTACCCAAGCTACCAATAAGCAGAAAGCCACAGATGCCAGCTGATAAAGTTCATTTGTCTACAAATGACCAGACAGGTAACACAGTTAATCTTCCAACTAGACTAGCAGGATATGGAGCACATCAATATATATATATATATATATATATATATATCGCAAAGGTATTTCGTTTTTTTCCATATATAACCAAGAAAAAAACACTAATCAAGCAAATACCAACATTAAATGACACAGCATCACTCACTTGCGAGGAAAGCTGGATCATTAACTTCAAGAACCGAGGAACAAAAGACCAAGACAAAATAGATGTAGCCATTAAGAACAGGGACAAAACCAGCAACCTGCAGGATATGAAACAGAATCAGGTAAAGTTATATACCGTCTGATCATACTGCCATGTCAAACATAAAAAACAAAGTAAGCATTGCTTAATAGGGGCACAAGATTTCTGCAAAAAAATGAGACTAAGCATTACAATGCCCATTACATATCACATGATATTAGTGATCTTACAAGATTTATCAAGTCACATGAAACTAAGCATTAAAATGGCCATCACATAAGTGGGATCTTTGGAGGGGGACAGAGTCAATGCAGATACAAATGAGTCCACAACCAAAGTGGTCACAATCCAAATTACCCAAAAAGTCTACCACAAACATTTTATATGTGAGCTGGTTTGTATATCCTGCTTCTTCCTGACATGTCAGCACATTCTGGAAAAGGTATGCAGAGGAATCCCCTATATTCATACCATATGTTCTTTGAAACATAAAAGCTCATGAAACACCATGCACTCCCTACAGATTTTTGCAGAACTGACATAGATGAGAACTTTATTTATGAGCAATCATATGACTGGTTATCATTTGTTCTTTTTTATATTTTTGGAGTAAAAAGACCTCTCATCTAAGTTGGCTAATGGAAGAAAAAAAGTTGACACTCTTTGCACCAAAATATTGGCTATGTGACCAAGGTAGTGTTTGACATAAATGAATGACCACATCCCAACTACATGTAAGGATATACTCCATAGGATATAACTCCATGATAATCGTGGACCAAGACAAGTAAAAAAATAGAAAAATAAACATAACAAGAATAAATATCATTATGATAAAAACATAACAACAAATATGGATACAAAAGCATGAATAAGTATCCAATCGCAGAATGGATGAATATGCAACCTGTGAACAAATTCTAAATCACTTACAACTTCGCCATAGACATAACTCCTTGAAAAATTCCACTATTGCCACCCAGAACTGGGAGCAAAGCAAATAGCAATCCAACAGCACAATCCTGAGAATTATGTAGAGAAAACAGTTAATGCCAAAAAAGCCTGAGGTTATACAAAAGTTTTCGAGATTGTTGTGTATTTTAATACAAAATATCCTCAAAGAGAAAACAGCCATACACTATATTCAGATAAACATCTGCAAACAATACCTGCAGAATAAGAGTTCCTATTGTGATTTGGCCATGAATTACATTAGAACTACTGCGTTCCACCAAAAATTTCAGCACCTAGAAATGGTCACTTAAATCATTAGTGAGAAAACTCAACCATGAAAACTGAAAAAGTTTTGAGGAAAAAAAAAAAACCTAGACATATTACCACGGCAGTTGATGACATTGATAAAAATGTACCAACAAATATGCCCTCAGACAACTTTGCACCACATAACTGCATGCAACAAGATTAACCTCAGTTAGAGAAAACCTCCTGCTTATAATGCATTCTTCAATAATGAGAAAAACAAAGAACAAGAATGTGGAATATATAGTGACTAAATTTGAGGAATTACCAAGGCAGTTATGCCACACAGGCACATAAAAATGACAATCTGAAGTAACCCACCAAGAACAGCAACAGCCCCAACAGCTCTTAACTATACCAGAAGAGGGCTACCACAGTAAGAGCAATTACAAACACAAAAAGCATAACAGATGTTTCAAAGCACATAATATGGTGAAAATTAAGTACTGTAAGATGCTGAATACGCATAATAGTTGTCTATAGTTGGTGAAAGATACCTTAGGCAAAGAGAATTCAAGGCCTAAAGCGAAAAGGAGAAAGACCACACCAAACTGTGCCACAGTCTCAACCTGTATGCAACATGAAGACCAATGTGAGCAATAATACATTGCACAGTGAAGATATTTAATTACTGAGATATGTCTATCCAAATATGGGAGACAGACCAATAGTCTATCTAGGTTCTACCCATCAAAAGAAAAGAGTTTACAAAGGTTCCATAAATATAAACATTTGCCCTTCTGCTGTAAGTTTAAATTTCAACAAAAATCAAAGATGATGTTGCCATCAGAAAAGTTGCAGCACTTATCTGGCAAATACAGTGTGAAAGAACTCAGCTCGGGCTCGAGGCTTGGCCCCCGCAGGAGCCGAGTAACTCGGGGGCGAGTCCAAGTCCCAAAGGGATAAAAATTTGAAATAAAAAAATGTTAAAAATAAAAAAAACCAGTAAAAAGCAAGCTAAACTATAAACCACATCAAAAGTCTAAAAAAGAGGAAAAAAATGTAAAAGATTAGTTTAGTAAAAAGCAAACTAAACTATAAGCCACATCAAACGTTTAAAAAAGAGGAAAAAATGTAAAAGATTAGTTTTGGAAAAAAAAAATGATTTATAGCTGGAAACAATTTAGGGAAAAAAAAACAGGAAATGGAAAAATACAGCATATGATAAGAAAAACTCAAACATCATCATCAAAAAAATCAAAGTTTATATAAACATAGTTATACATTGATTCATTAAAAATTAAAAATTTTCATTTTTTTTTTCATACGTCTGAGTTTGTATCCAGAACTCAGCCCCGTAAGGTGCCAAGTTCGAGTAACTCGGCCAAGCCCAAGTTGACTCAGCCGGTTCTTATAAGCTCGGGCATTGATATAGCCAGAAAAATATATATTCAATGCTACTTATACTGATTAAAGCAAAATAGAAGTATATGGTGCTACTGGTTCTAAAGTCAATCTCTAAATTGCAACTATGGATACCACACAATGGCTTTTCCAGGAGGATCCAACAACTCTTTTTGTAAAGCTAGCTTAACTTAGAAAATTTTGAAAGTGATCTGGTGTGCTTATGCTCATTTAACCACCTAATGGGGCTTCACTATCAGCGCAGAAGTTGCAAAAGGAAAGCTCAAAGAAAGTGTAATGCGCCTACTTTTCAAATGGTGAGAAGCCCATTTTACCAAAATATTGCATCAATAACCATTGAGATTTCCAGGGAACAAGTCATTTAATTGAAAATAAGATACTTATATCCAGGAAATTGAAAATAACAGAAAACACTCATGCAACCGGTATGACTCTGATGAGAATATCATGCAAAGGTCCCAAAGGGGAACATTTTCGAATAAAAACACTGCAGTTACTTGATTGTGAACTGATGTTGAGAGCAATAGATCTCCCCTAACTTGACACTGCCATAGAGGTTTAAAATAGTGCTTCAAATATTGCCCAAGTCGACTCAAGACACGGGAGAGTTATTGCTTAGTCAAGAACAGGGTACATATAGTACTCTGGCATGTACTATACAGAATTGCCTAAGAACTGTACAAACTATACAAACTCGGGATGACTTGCCCAAGTTTTTACAGTACTCAGGCGAGCAGCTAAAGTACTCGCCTGAGTACTGTACAAGTCACAGTTTAGAAGGGAGGTCGAAAATTTGTCCCCATTTTTCCTTTGCTTTCTTCGATTTGAGCCCAGGTTCGCAACTTGCACTGAAATTGAGTCCTTAAAATGATTGTAGCCTAACTATATGGTAGAAACATTTGATATGGTGATGGACTTTGAGATGGAAAATTTTGGCCAAGGTTTTTTCTCGATTTTGAAAAGTGACAATTTCTTAGCAATTGCTGGTTGACTTTTGATCAAGTTTGATTCCTATGCCTATTTTTGTGTTCTTGCTCCAATCCCAGGCTTCATTTTTAAAAAAGAAAGCACTAGAGATATTTCAAATTTAGATTACTATTCATCTGAATTTTTCAATAGTATCTAAACTCGGAAACCAGAGCTAGTATCAGGTTTTCGATTGGAGTTGTGTGATGAAGCATTAACAATGGTTCGAGGCATCAATTCACACTATGTTCAAAGATCCGGGGGGGGCGAGGGGGATATGCGTCAAAATTTTGGGCATGTTTCCTTTTTTTGAATTGAAATGTATGAAATTGATTATTTTTTACTAAACCTATTATAATTGATTTGTAAGTCCTTTTGTTTATACTCTTATGTTTTTTTATGATTTATTTCATTTTTTATTTTAATTTTTTTTCATATTTTCTATTTTTTCAAGCCAATAACACCATTTTTTTTATTCAATGTTTTATACACATCTTTTGATTTAGCATATTTTTTTATAATTTGTAATTATTATTCAGGTATTTCACTTTTCCTATCTTGTAAAATATTTTTGGGCCTATTTTCAGGCTAAGGCAGGACTTGGGCAAGTCAACTCAGACTTGCCCGAGTTACTCGACTCAGCAAGGGGCTGAGTCCTCAGCTCAAGCTGTTAAATCAAACATTAATATTATATTAGAAAAGGTACGAAATGAAAGAGAGCAAAAATAAGCATAGTTGAGTGTACGATCCATTTCATGGTAACTATGGTGCCAAAACCTTGGTGATGGGCAACATATGAACAAAAAAAAAAAAAAGAGAAAAAAAAAAAGCAACTTTAGCCAGCCTCGGTAGAGAAGAGGAAACCATATAGAACAAAGCACTACTCTCATCCTGATGAAATTAAAATATATTATCTTCTAATAACTCCATAAACAGTTGCAACTTGCCTGTACTATTTCACTAATGAAACTCAAGCCCCCCGGACCTATGAGGGAACCTGCAAGGAGATAACCCGTAATAACCTGCACTAAACAGAAGGTTATTAATGAAATTTAAGGACAGAAGGACAGACTCATGAAGTCTGTAAAAACTGAATATTTCATGAATCTCTACGAGGAGTTACAACAAAAGAATACTAACTGGTTGCCCCAAGCAGGCCAAGGTAATTCCACCAACTGTAGCAGAAACAATTACAACCACTAGGTCTGAAATTAACCTGCAAGGAACTCAATATGGAAGATTGAAAGCATGATTCGCATGTATAAAGTAAGCAAGACACGATAAAATATGTTAAAAAAAAACCAAAGCACTACTGTGTCTAATTGCCTACATTGTAAATTCTCAAACTAAACCATTAAAAAGTTGGAGCACCCCTACCTTACGTCCACTTGAAGCACAGGATACTTTGATTTTCGATTGGACATTATGAATACATTGTCCTGCCCAGATGCGAGGCACAAAAGTTGGAAAGTAACAGAAGACACAAGAAAGGAAATTAAACAGGGAACATATCATCTATTCAAATTGCTTTCATTAAGGTTATTAATACTACACATTTTTCTCAAATGTACCTTTTTATCTATCAACGTCGGCATATCATCAGACCCCTCGTTGTCCAGGGCAAAGACATCTTGCAACTGGAATGATCTAGTGCCACTATGAGAAAGAATACTACAATGTTAAATGAACAAGATATGGACAAAACTCCATTACATAGAATGACATTCCAAAGTTAGCTTCATGGATAAATCTAGTTTATTAACTTACTTTGCTTCTTGAGTATCATTTTTCTTGGACTTCTCATGAGTAACTCTTGCAACAGTCTCCAATACGCCCTGTAAGTATTAACAGTAGAAATTCAACAGTTGCAAATAAAAATAGAAAATCACCAGCATGCAAAGGCAGATTCCAAACTGTTCATGTCAAAACTGCTTTCAGCAACATCAATTTATACAGAAAAGTAAACAGAAAAAGCAATTATGCATGAACTTTTGATCAGCCATGTTTCAATTCTCAATGGTAACTGTAATACATCCATTAATGTTAACCACAGCCCAAATCACACAATAAAGCTCAAAAATACTGAAATAAACTGGTAAGATGTGCTGTAATTGGTAGATGTAAGACAACTCCAAGTTCATCAATTGTGACTATCTACATCCATTTATTGTGCTAGGGTTTCTGTCACAAAAACTTCATCAAGAAACACACTTCTTTAAAACACAAAAATTCAAGTCACATTACGATATATCATGGGGCTTTGCCAACGATGATCTAAACTTCAAAACAGAAGTCTCTCTCCTTCAAAATGAATATATTCAGTGTCTAGCTTGGAAAAATATAGTTTACTTTCCACCATGTACTCCAAACACCAAAGTAGTTAAGTGTCTTAAGTGCTATAAGAACCCTCATCAAAGTGGGAAACGTCATAACAAGGCCTCCTATGATTTCAATAGAGTAAAGGATTTATGAATTGTTTATCAAAAAAAAGAAAAAAAGGATTTATGAATTGGGTTGTGGCAATTACACTCAAATAGCATAGCACTTGTATAATTAAGAAGAATCCACTAATGAATATAGGGCAACAGTCCTAGTCAAATCTCATATCACAATGTCTAAGCAATGATGAAGGGATACCTCTATAATTCTGCTTGCCTAAGGTATCAGTGTAGATGCACTTTGATACCAGTTGTGCAATAGACATGGCAGGATACGGTGGGGATGCAATTCAGCCATATCCTGCTTGTTACTTTGAGTTTGTTGAGATCAATGTTTCAAAACCTGGTGATTCTTGATCCGGATCGTCAATCCAGATGACAAACCGGTCAGGATCAAACTGGTTTTGGGATGGTATGGCCCATTTCCCCCTAAAACCCCTCCATTTATATTTTCTTTTTTTTGCTTTTTCTAAAGCTTATCTAATGTCTTCTTAGGTCCTACATAAATCCCCAGCCCATCCCAATTTCAATTTTTATGTTATTTTTATTTTTTAATATTTTCTAGATCACCAATTCTAACCAATCTGGTTGCCAACACAGAGATCCCTTTGACTTACACATTCAATTTCTTAAACTTTGAGTGTAAGTTTATTTATTCTAAACTTTGAATGTAAGGCTACAACAAATCCTTTTCTAAGTTTGATCTGTATATGTTTTAGCTTCCTAAATTGATTATGTTTATCATGCCCGTATCGTAGCATGTCCTATGGTTTCAACACGCCAGATAGGACACCCATACCCACATTTGTGTCTTTAATTTGTTTCAAAAGCCGAGTCAATCTATGCATCCAGTATCTTTGCCCACTATATTTACATGTATGCATCATAGGTCTATGCTATGAGAAGTGTTATAAACTCATATTCAAGCATAACATATTCAACGGAGGTACAAATACACACAAGAGAGTCTTCCATGATACCATTGCAAAACCTTAAGCACCCTATACGAGAGAACTATGAATAACAAGAAGCGTACATGACAAATTATCGGCATTCCATAGAAAGGGAAAAAACACATTAAGAATCACATTATTTTAATATTTGAACATTTAATAAGTTGTATGAACATTAGCTTCAGTTTCTGGGATACTGCCTATTTCTCCAAAGAGGTAACAGACAAGATAATTAGCCAAAGTACTTTATTCTAATCATGGAAAATGAAATGTTCTATCAAAAAAGACAAAATCAAGCCGACCTGTTGATCTGCTACAGTGCTATTAAAGCTACTCCCATCAGATCCTGCCATAAAGAAACAACCACTAAATACAAACGATATTAAAATGCAAACTTAATATAGCACTCCCCACCCAAATATGAATCAAATACCAGTGATCATATATTGTTATCAAACAGTTACACAAAATGAGCAGCAACCAGAGCCGACAAACTTTTTTAGCAAGATAGAAATGAGGTTCCCATACCAAATTACTGGAAAAGTAAGGGCATAGCAGAATGGCAGAGCAAGTATAAAATAGCAATGAATTAATTCTCCAGAATGCAAAAATATCAATTCCACTATAAATTCTTCATTTTTTTGGGGAAGAACCACTTAAAGGTCTTCATGTGCATATCAATTGTTCAATCATAGTGAAATCTACGAGAAAGAGGACTGAAATTGAACACAAATCAACAGATCCAAAACACCAGAATTCCATGAAAAGCAAAAAATATTCGAAAAAACTACAAGGAACACGAAGCAAGAAATGAGTGAAAAGAGAGCCCAACCCTCTGGTTGATCCTGCTCTGAAAACTCCTTCTCCAAAACCCGATCAAACATCTTTGCGATGCTCCCTTCTCCTGGATCTGGAGGCGTCGCCTGAAAACTCAAGTTCCCGTAGAACTTTTCCCTGATATCTTTATCAGATATTCCGGCAATGCAGGCCGGAAGAATCGCCATGGCAACAAATATCACGGCGACCCACTTCTTCACCATTGTAAGGCTCCAGCAAAAAACTAGCTTGAAAATTCCAACTTAAAAATTTGTAGAGATATAGGGCATATTCTCCCCTGAGAAAGAGCAAAAAATCATTTCAAATTAATTGGGAGAACTCGATTTCAAAATTATTGTACCTTTTTTTATATTATTTTTCCCTTGCGCAGGGATCTGCAGCTACACGAGGCTTTGTCGTTTCTTCAAAGGAAATCAGGGGGGAACCACATAGAGTGCAGTGAGAGCCATAAATTTCGTTAAGGGTAACCACGTTGTATAAACTATGCTGCCGCGGGATCATACTGTTTATATAATCCTGCTGATATAAAACCCACTTTCTTGGACTGTTTGGAGGACACGGCTTCCATGAATATAAATGAGTTGCCTCTTAAATATCTATTTTTGAGATGGATTGGTGGACTTAATTTTTAAGGACATATAATCTCTGACATGGACATCATGAATAAATAAATAAAATTTTTAAAATTAAAAAATTAATTCTATTAAGAAAAAATTTGGACCTACTTGCATCCACTTTTAAAAGGGTGCAGTTGGCATACTGATGCATCCGTAATTGTAGAGGTAAGGTGCACATTCAAATTTTATCATGGTATATAATTTTGATATAAAATGTTCTTAGGATTATCTCAAAATCTATTTTTATATCTAATTATAAATTTTAAATTTAAAAAATGGTTAAAATCAAGTAGATCCATAAAACATATGAAAATCTTGAAAATAGACGGTGTAGATAATATGTTGTAAAATGCACTATTTCTCGGACTTAAAATCTTTTTATTTTTCATGGTCATACATCTCGATGTCGAGATGATCAATCATAACGTTTTTCAATATTAAAACTACCTTTTTCGATGGATTTTTGAGATACATCTGTATTTCTACATTATAAGGTTGCATCCTTGTATAAACTTTTTCCTTTTTAAAATGGATGCTTTATACCTTAGGACCGCTTGTTGTGTAAATGTAGTCTAGCTCGCATGAAACAGTTTTTTTTTTTTAAGTATCACATTTTGGGAGCTAAGAATCACTAGATGATTATTTTTAAAATATAAAATTTGAATTTTGATTTTTTTAATACTTAGATCGCACCCACAAAAATTGGATGCTCTCAATTCAGTCTTGAGAAGACATATTTTTTCAAATGTGAGAGTGTGTTTTGGAATTTTTTTTGTTTTTATTTTTTTATGAGATTAGTGTAGGGGTTAGCGATGTTACATCCCTAAGATTTTATCATAAATCGATTGTTACACAAGATAGTAAATGGACAATGTACTCCCAAGCCAAGATAGTAAATGGACAATGCACTCCCTCGGGGAGCATGAAATCTCTTGGCTTTTTTTACTTTTAAGACCATATTCCTGCGGGTTCATGGTGCACTAGCTCCTTCAGGTGAAAGAAATACTAGCGACATTCTTCCCATGTGAAACTCATGTGATTATTCAAAAAAATAAGATGTAGATTTTGAGTTCTTAAATATTTAGACCTCTCTTTGTATTTAGACGGTCTTTGTGAATTTTGAGTTTTTAAACGTTAAGATTTCTCTAAATTTGGATGGTCTTGTTCAATCCTTGAAATGTGTCCTTTTATAAGGGTAGACCCAAATTTGGAGTGGTTAAATCCCTACCATTCAATTCAGGATCTCGAAAATACTGTTTTTTTTTTTTAACTTTAACACAAACCTTCCGTTAATAGCATCAAAAATTACAAGTTATACAAGGGGACAAAGAATCACCGGAAAAAAATTAACTACCAAAGTGGAGCAGTTAACTTCCCCTTTGGCTAAACAATCAATTTCCTAATTAGCCTCACGATAGTAATGTCGGATATGAGCATTAGGATCTCAATAATACTTTTACTGACCAACATAAAACTTTGATGCATCTTTTCATGAATCCTGAACCTATGAATAATGGAATAAGATTCATGCAGCCAACCCAAATAGTAGGGATAAGATTCGGATGATGATGATGATGACCCATAAAAGATCAACTATTTAACATTCTACTCTAATTTTGATTTAATTTCAAAACACCCATCATCCATCTTTAAAAAGCACATGATCAAGAGTTGAAATTGCTACAAATGGGTAAAATATTGAGTAGTTCATCGCTTTTTAAAATGGGTGTAGTTTGTATAGAGACTAGGCTCTAAACAATCAAATTATAGCCTACTTTCAAATAGCTTCGAGAAATGTGGTTTCAACACTAGAAAACTTCGTGATAGCCTTAAATATATTTTCATTTTTATTTATAAAGTGCAAAACTTCAAAAAGTAGTGTAGATCGACAGATTTATGAAAACTTGAAAATCTTGAAAATTGACTGTCCCAAAATACATTACAATATACACAATTTTCAAAACTTGAACTCTATTTTTTCTCATGTCCATGCATCTTGATGTCGAGATGATCAATTTGATGATATTTGGACATTAAAACAATCTCTAGTAAAAATTTTGAGGTAGGTTCTAATTTGATTGTTTAGAGCCTCGGCTCTATATATACTTTTCCATTTTAAAATTAATTGCTTGATTGAGGATGTTACTTATCAAAATCGAACCCCCAAAGCTCCTTGAATAGGCATGGAGAGGTTGTAGGATGTGCTCCAGCGGGAACATGTAATTGTTCGGCCAAATAAAGAATGGGTCAGGTTCAAGGGAGGGTGAACCATCGCACTCTCCCTCGTCTTCTATGGTTTTTATTTATGAGTATTCTACTGACCATTGGTATATTTAGGAGCATTTTCCTGATCTTTTATGCATTTTTTATTTTGGTGGTTGAGGGAGGTTCGATAGAGAATGCGGAAAATGTCCCAAAATGATCAAACCACCTTAAAAATCATTAAACTGTTCAAATAAATTAAGAAATGCGGGCTTCTTAATAAATCTATTTTTGAAATGGATTATAATATTTAATTTTTAAGGACATGTAATTTTTAACGTGGAAATCATGAATATGAATAGATAAAAAAAATTTAAAAATTAAAAATAATAATTCTAGTAAAAAAACAATTGGACCTTTAGGGTATGTTTGGTTCACGCGTAAATATTTCCCGAGAAATATTTACATGTGCATTCTTTTTACAATGTTTGGTAGCACATTTAAAAAAGCACTCCGTAAACAATTTTATATGTTTGTAACGCTTGGTTGGTGTGAAAATATTTACACAAAACCTTGAATATGTAATATAATAAATATATCTATTATAAACGATATATTGTATATTATATATTTATTTATTATTATAATAATAATGCTAATATATAATATAAAAAATATAATATTTCTTATATTATATATATTATAATATTAAATTAATATATTTTATAATATAAATATTATATATTATAGATAATGCTAGGAATATATATTATATATAATAAGATATATATCAATAACATAAATATAAATATTTCCTATATATAACATAATATAATATATTATATTATATTATCTTATATTATATTATATATATAATATAATATGAATATATATATATATATATATATATATATATATATATATTAGTTAAATTATTCTATATAATATACTATATGTATATAATAATATATATAATGT